CCCGGGGCGTGCGTCTCCCCCCTCCCCAAAAACTCTTGCATCAACAACGACCATGTCCATAATTAATTTCGATAGATTGCTATCACCCTGAAAGCAAGTACTTCCACGCGGCTGGCAAAGTTTCTTTCGGTAGGAAAACATTCTACTTCTGTCAGCTACGGGGTCAGCCAACTAGATGAAAACGGAGTCGATTTTTAACAGAACAACGCTATAAACTTAGCGCACGCCCAAGACACGGGAGAACCCGAAAAATAAATAAACACGGGAGAACCCGAACTAAACGTGTTTATGCAAAATTTGACGCAAATTAATTCGTTCTCAGACCATAAAACTTGAAATTCACTCGGTACACTCCGTGGAACTAGCGTCCTCACATGTGAAAAACGTTGTTTTGGGATGAACTTGGGATATAAGAAAATTACAATGCCGCATGCCGGCCGTGCAGGGCGGAAAAAGAAGCTACAATCCGACATACGTATAACAATCGTCAGGCGGTGTTTCTTTGGGGCGGCGCATCTGACTCAACTCTTTGAATTCGCGGCCCGGCTGGTGGGCGGGTCCCCATCTGCGCGCTGTGATTGGCGCGCCAGAACGCCACGTGGTCAGGCGGCGCCGGGGAGTCTGCCAGCGCCGCTGCTGGCGACGTGCGGTTTCTATGGCGACGCGGCGTGGGAACGCCCGGCCCAACACTGGGGGTCTGCATGCCCTTTTTCGTAAGGCGTAATCAGGCGTTTTTTAATTCATTGTCTTCGTAAACCGTAGGCAATCTTCCCTATTAAAAAAATCAACGTAATTCGTAATCAGTACATTAGCCACAAAGCGTAAAGTCGTAATCAGCTCTGAAACTTTAACTTTATAGCGAAAATTTTGCGTAATTCGTAATCACTAACCCCCATGCAGGCCCTGAACACTGCGTGGCGCACGAAATGTATCAAAGTTTGAGGCGTTAAGAACCCTTGAATTATTCATTCATTCATCAATTATGCTTCGCCCCCTTGTTTTACACAATGTTTAATCTCTCTTCCGTAACTCCATACGTCAACCTCCCCTATCTAGGAGAAAAATAAAGAACTCGAGTGGCGATTTGGCACGTCGATGCGTTAGATTTTTTAAAAATTATATCTGAAATAGCGCGGGTCGGGTGACATCAAAATAAAGCCGTCCACGTCGCAAGGCCGGACACAAAACTTGTTCAAGAAGGTTGTATTACTTTGTTATCGTTCTATATCTTATTAAGCCACCAGATTTTCGATATTAAAAAAAGAAATGTTTGGTTAAAAATACTATTTGCTCTACTGTTATTTGCATGCATTGAAAACATACTAAAACATGCACGCATCGTCTGTCTGCGTAAAAATCTGTAGTCAACGCGGTTCAACTTCAAGTAACAGCGGCGCCGGCCCTTCGGAAACCTAAAGTCTCACACCGAAGATCGGGTTTGCGGGAGAGGATTTCGTACCGCGGGATATCCCGATAAATCCCGCAGGAGATCCCGCAAACTCCCGCAGGAGATCCCGCAAACTCCCGCGGGAGATCCCGCAAACTCCCGCGTGATATCCCGCAAACTCCCGCGGGATCTCCCGCGGGACTTGATGCTTATCCCGAGATCTGTACTGTAGTAGTAGGCATTTCATCGGTCTCGTAGGACCATGAAGAAGAATCATCTTCTACATCATGTACTTATTTTTTTTGCTTTACGCTTAAGGCGTCTGTGTTCTGATTTGAGTCTCTGTTTTTCTTCCCCCCGATGTAATCCCTTCTTAACTACTTGTCTCCAAAGTGTTCTGCTTGTTGTAAGAGTCTCCCATGTCTAGAGAAAAGACAAGGCTCTGGTTTATTGCCATGTTCAATGAATCAAAACCATTTGTACAATGGCACTGGTTTTTGTCTTTCAAAGGTTACGGATTGGACAAAATTCTGTCATGGGCAACGCAATTAGTGCTGTGTACCGGTTCACTGGACTTGGATCCGGACTTATAAGAATGTTTAGGTTCAAGTCCAAAAAAAACCTAAAAGTCAAGAACCGAGTCCGGACTTATTACCATAAAAGACCATTTCACATACCCCTTTCTTTCCAAACCAACCTCAAACCATCCATAGATTGCAAAATCTTTGCTGCAAAATGAAGAAAACATTGCCATCGGGCATCGTCAAGTACCGGCCTCCATGTTATGTGGCCAAAGTTTTGCCCATACAACATTGCAAGGTTGCCAACATGCAATTTTGTACATGCCTTGGGTTTAGGTCCGAATTTACAAGTCCGGAACTGAACCTAAACCTCTAGACTTGAATTCGGACCTGAACCTGAATACACAGCACTAAACGCAATACCTTCCAATAATGGAGATGATGCTGTATAGAACTGTTAGTAGAACACTGGTTCTCATATGCATCATTGAAGACTAATGTGTGTTTATATGATGATGATGTTCTACAGCTGAGGCTGCATCAGCCCCAGATGTCACAGCTGGACCGTCTGCCCATCCTTCAGGCAACAAGAATGGCACTGGTAAACCTCCTGTTTTCAACACTTTCATCTGTAAAATGTTACTGTAGGAACTTACATTTTGTAATAATAAAAATGTTCTTGTGATAACATGTATAGTGTACAAAGATGTTGAATTTTTGTTGAGATTAGTTGACTCAATGGACAAATTCCTGTTATTTGGGTGGAGAACATGAACAACTGATAAAAATGTATGCTTAGATAGAGGCATACAGGCCTCAAAATGAACTTTTCTTCCTATAGCACTGTCCCTAAAATAAATTTTAATTGTCCCGAAGGTAGGGAGGATGAATTGTACCAACCTGTTTTTTGGGAAGGACATGTCTTCGACTTGACATCAACTTTTTTTGCTTACGTTCTGACTCCCAGGCGCACCATAATGGCAGTGTAGACAGGATATTGGGGGGGGGGGTCCTTTCTGGATCCAAAAGCTGGGACGTGTGCCTGATAAGCAAAAGTAGGGCTGACATTCTGACGTTGATTATTTTTCTATTGTCCCAAAAATGCCCCAAAGTGTCTTTTTAGTTGTCCCAGCCTAAATTTTAGTGGTCAGTGGCCATTGGACCACCTTTAATTTATTAAAAGTTAAGAATCATTTGGTGAAGGTATGAAGTTAAAGGCATACCATGCAGTTTTTAGGGCTTGGAAACCAGATTTTTCAAAGTCAATATTCTAGTCAATTTTCTACATACTGAGTTGAAACAACACTATCCCAATGTATCTTGAGCAAAAACACCCCAAATTCTGACAGAAAATGTTTACTGGAAGGACCCTTGGCTGATTTCAGGGTACCACCCAGAAAATTAAGGACTCATCTCGGGGATTGCTTCTGCATTTTTTTAAAGTACCCAAATGCTGACTCAAAGGTGCTAATGCTGACTTAAATGTGCTAATGTAAAGCAGCATGTGTCAATTTCACACAGATTCCGTTATTCAGAATATTTCCAGTTTTGCTGCCCTGAAATTGCATTGGATACCTTTAACATTTCCAGCTGTGTGTGTAATTTCAGAGGTTGAATGGGAGCAGGGTGCGTGTGGTCTGCACAACCTGGGAAACACCTGCTTCATGAACGCAGGGCTACAGTGTATGCTGAGTAATGCACAACTCTGCAGCTTCATCCTGGACGCACCACCAGGTACAGGACAACAGTCTGTCACTCTGTTATCAGTGGTTTTACCAGTCCCACATGTAACATGAAATCTGTGGGACATTCACCAAGAAGGTTATGTTTTGGGGACTCTGTTTGTGTGTGTGTGTGTGTGTGTGTGTCTGTCTGTGTGTGTGTTTGTGACTTTGCGTGTGTGTGCGTGTTTGACTCTCATGCAGGGTTGGACAAGTTTTCAAAAATCCACTTGCCCTATTGGGCCAGCACATGGTCATTTCTACTTGCCCAAAGCAACTTTTCACTTGCCCAATGCAAAATAATAATGATATGTTTCTATGCATTTTCACCACAAGGACATTTTTTCAGTAAAAAAATTAATGCTTGACCAGTATTTCCCAAAGTAAGGAGGTTTGAGACTTGCAACTGATTCTTTGACAAAAAGTCATACATTTGACTGACATCAATAACTTATTATCGGAATACATTATGGGAAAATGATGAGTGATTTTGCAAGTGGGCAATAGTACTTGTCCAACCCGGTCATGGATGAATCTTATTCATATTGACATTCAGTGTATTGGTAAAAAACTTGAAAAAATTATTAGATTTTAGGCCCCCAATTTTGACATCTCAAAATCATTATGTGATATGCTCAATTTGACGATTTTTGTTGTGCTCAGGAAAAAGTTAATACATGTACATGGCCCCTGTTACAAATGTAACTTGTTCTGGAACTGCAGGCGTACATGTATTTCTGTTGCAAATTGTTGACAGAAGATAACTCAAGAAGTCCCGACAAAACCAGAGTAACATTTGTTGTAAGCTAACTTGTATTTCTATATATTGCCCCATTGTTTCCCCAGGTTCTATCCCAGAGGACAGCCTGTGTGGTCTGTTTGCAGCCCTGGTACATAAGGTGTGGAGTGGGCGCTACTCCTACCTCAAACCCAGGAGGTTTAAGGATAGACTGGGACATCAGTTTCCACAGTTTAAGGGCTTCAGACAGGTCAGCTTTGTAGTTAATGTTGTACCTCACTAATGTCGTTGTGCATCACAGAACCCACCTCCATCTGGTAGTCCTTTTTATAATATATACATCTATTAAAAAGCCTTTTGGGGAAATTCTATATGGCTATTTACAAACTACAGCTTGTTTTGCAATCTTGTTAACAAGTAAACAGCATGTTGTTCAGCCGCCATTCACAACAATGACCACAGGCATGTGAGACTGGTGTGGTATGCATGATGTATTCAGTAACAGGGTCATACGCAAAAATATATGTTTTATTTAATTTAGAATTAGATTGTGTTTGTTCATTGTCTCATTATTCATGTGGGGTCGTGTGGCACAGTTGGTAGCGCTTTCGGCTCACACCCAAGAGGTCGCGGGTTCAAATCCTACCCATGTCACGACTCACCGATCTTGTGCCCTTGGGAAAGGCACTTTACACAACTTTCCTCACTTCACTCAGGTGGAAATGAGTACCTAGCTTCGGTTAGGGACGTCCCTCGGATAGGACGTTAAATGGAGGTCCTGTGTTTGGGGAGAGCCACCCCAACGCAAGTTAAAAGAACCTACCACCCTCTTAAAAAAGAGTAGGGGACCTTCCCGGTGTGAGTGGTTCAAACCTTACAGTCCGGTCTTACGCAGCTTGTACATGTACATGAAAACTGGTGTGTTACACCAACCCTCCAGACTGCGACCGTTTTGGTCGCATATGCGACCAAAAATTACGAAATGCGACTTAACTTTTTACTCTGGTCGCGCACTGCGCGACCGGCAGAGAATCCGCTGTGCTCCTAAATTATTGGCTATAGCGCTATATAGAGGCAAAAATTTCTTATTTTTTCCCGTAAGAATGTCATATCAATGCCAGGCAAAATCATGTTCATATGTCAGAAAACCCATTACAAGTCCGTAGATACCATTATCTCGCCAAATAAAGCGGCAAACAGCTTTTTTTTTCGACGAAAAAACAGGCCCGACACAACAACACACAACCGGGGCGCCATCTTGTTTTCATCTGGCGTGACCTCTCGGCAGCCCGACTCTCGCGAGACTTGATATCCTTATACCATTAGAGGGGTCAGGTGACGAGATCTCGCCTTCAAAGTTTGTGCAGCGGGCGACCTAGGGCGACCGGGAGTCATACACGATGTTTCCAGAATTGTCTAGGGGATTCTGAACTGCCATCTGGCCTAAATTTGGGGGAAAACCAAGAAGATAAATATGTTTATCAGCCACAACTTGTGATATTTGACTGTTGGCAAAGTTTGTGTTGGAAAAGAGATCCTCCCTCATGGCCCAGGAGAGGAGCGTGCAGGATAGGGAAGTTTGGCAATGCGTGACTGATATGATTTTCTACTAGAACTCCTCTAAGGAAAACTTGGGCAGATCTCTGTTGTGCAGACTTTTCAAACTAAGTTGTAGATTGTTTTGATACAGTTGAAGAAATAATTAATATTAATAGCAAAGTTTCAACTGAAGGTATTTAGACATTTGTGTAGCATATAACGTTATTATTAAATAATTATAGGCAATTCCAAATGAAGCCTATTTTTTTATTCTTCCCCTTTTATGTTTTCTACTCTGTCCTTTTTTCCTTGAGCTTTTTTTATTGTATTTTATTTTTTTATGATTTATTTTTCAGTCAATGAAACTACTTCAGACATGCATTATTACCTGAAAAGTTGTAAGAAATAAAGAAGATTGTCTTCATTTGTGTTGTGGAAAATCTGTACCTTTAACGATAACAAAATGGTTTGAGTAGCAATGTTAATATTATTAACCGTTAGATCATAAATAACTCAGTGTATTATTGGCTTAAAACATTTAAGTGTTTTTTTTCCAAAAAATAAAACTATTTCATTGTTGCAATGATAAATGCATAGATATATGTCATTTATATTTCGGGCAAGTGAAAAGTTGGTTCGGGCAAGTGAAAATGACCAAGCACTTGCCCAATAGGGTTGGATTTTAGAAAACTTGTCCAACCCTGCAGAGGCCTAGGAGACCGACATATCAGTCAGCCTGGCCTAACGACTCAGATGAAGTGACTTTGAACACATTAAAGACAGTTACTTGTAAAATCATTGTTTGGTCTTTCATTTATCACAATATATAATTTTCTTTAAGTACAAATGGAGAATTTTGATGCTGTTTTTTATGATAATGAAAGAATGATTAATTGTCTGTTTAGGTACATTATTCTCTTGGCTTGTAAATTAAAAAGTACTTTGCGCGACCAGATTTTTTGTTTGCGCTCCCAAATGTTTGCCTGCGCGCCTAACTTTTTGAGGCTAGGAGCGCATGCGCTCCTAAGCTAAAAATTTAGTCTGGAGGGTTGTACACCTAAAGGTGGTTTACTGGTTATGCGAAACTAACAAATTGTCAGGTACATGGACACATGTACATTTTGTACTAATAATGTTGTTTTCCTCCTACAGCATGATGGACAGGAGTTTCTGGCCCTCCTTCTGGACAGTCTTCATGAAGAGCTGAACAAGACTCACAAACTTGTACAGAAGAACAGAGTCCCTATGGTCACTCCTGCTGACCACGACTGTGCCATATACGAGGACAATTACTCCAGTGAGGAGTCCAAGAGTAGTGTGACCAGTATGGACGTCCCCTCCCCAACCTCAAACCTGCTGGTCCTGGACGGAGGCTCCTCCTTTCACACAGAAAAATGTACCGCTAGAACAGTTCCCAACTTTGAGGAATATCTGATGAAAGATACAAAAACACTAAACACAAATTTGCAGACGACATACACGTTGAATAATGAAAAGTCGGTCAAATCCCCGCCCAGGGTTGAGAGCTTGTGTCACAGGAAAGTCCACAACACGGCAGACGAGAGTAACAAACTTAACAAAGACACAAACGTCATGGCTGAGAAACAAGGGAACTGTTCCACACAGGGTGCCTGCTGTGGGGAACTTCAGCTAAAAGGCCAGAACATCAACAATAAGAGATTAAAAGTAGACTGTGCTCTGTCCTTGAGGTGTGGACCAATCGAGGATGAGCAGAAAAGACGAGCGACAGATTTTATCAGTAACATCAGCAATAACCAGCTGGCCATGCCAGGCTGTCAGGGGACCAAGTGCAAGGTAAATCATTTGCTAAATCATTAGTTAAATCCGACTTTGTCTCCTAACCTCACGCCGGGTTGATGTGCATGGCAGAAATCTCAGAAATTCGCATGACATTAGCCAGTTTAGGTGCAGAACGTCCCGTTTCTTGAACACTACTCTGCCGTACTGTGTTAAGCTTTTGAATGGTGAAAAATGATTCACTTCATCAGTTTCACATAATATAACCCTGCATATTATAACTTCAGACCATTTCTGTAATTTTAACTTGAAAGAAACATTCAATCAACTGTTTCTATATTGCAATTTTTAATGTAAACTAGATATGTAACGAACAGGTTTTTATCTAATGTAAAGAATCTTTATCAAATAGTTAATCTATAAGCGCATTTTGCCTTCCCAATTCAGCCAAATATACATAGAATACAACAAGGGGTATTCCGTATCGCCAGAGGTATCGGCCCAACCGCGGGTCGGATCGCCCGCAGGCCGGAGGGCGATCCGACTCGCAGGAGGGCCGGGACTGAGGGGGATGCGGAATACACCGTGTTGTATTTTATTTATGTCATACCCACCCAAGAAAATACGCCTTTCAATGCAAGATGAGCCAAAAGTTACATGGGGCCACTGAACCCTAAAATGCAACGACATCAATTCCAAAGTCCGGATTCTGTATTAGAATTTTCGAAAGGGGCACACGCGGTTAGGGGGAAACGCGTTCGAATCGTTTTATGGAAGCCATGGAAGCATTCGCTAACGGGTTCCGGACCGGGCCGTACCGTAAAGTACGGCCCGGTCTGGAACCCGTTATCGAACGTTATTGCGGCCCGGGTATGATATAAGGCTGCTTACAGGCTTTTGTGTGTACTTTTTGTATGTAAGGCACAAATAAACCAGTCTCTCTCTCTCTCTCTCTCTCTCTCAAGGTCACCAGCAACTTCATGTCCAAAAATGAAGTCAACCCCACCAGGGAGGTCCTGAACAGGATGGGGGTCAGCATGGAGGGTGTGAAAGGGGGCGAGGGTGTGCATGGGGAGGAGGTGTCTAAGCTGGAGATGTCGGAGTGTTTGGAGGAGAGTGAAGCAGATCTGGAGTGGGAGATGTATGTGAGAGATAACCAGTCTGTAGTGGTGGACACTTTCCAAGGCCAGTTCAAAAGTACAGTAAGTACATCATTCCTCACTATCATGAAAGTTCATATGTGTTGGTAGTTACATGTTTAGAGTAAAAACTTTTGGTCCAACACAAAAAAATTCTCTCACCTAGAGCTTTCGACCAGTTACTCTGGTCTTCCTCAGTAGACTGACCCAGTGAAGCTTGACACGTGTCTTCTTTGAAGTGTGACGTCAACACTGGGTCAAAGGTATCTGGTAGACGATGTCGACCCCCGTCACGGTTCAATGTAGGGTGATCGGCCCTGATGTATATCACCCCCATGAAACTCCTTCCTCTTCGCCCCCGCCGTTCTGCTTCGCCCCCGCCCCGTTCTGCTTCGCCCCCGCAAAAAATCTGCTTCGCCCCCGTCGTTCCTCTACGCCCCCGGCGCAATTCTGCTTTGCCCCCGTCCTTCTGCTTAGCCCCCAATGGCGGCACACCTCACAGTCGACACGAAAATCGTCTGCAAAATAACAATAAAGGCTGTGCCGCCAAATTGAAAGTAGCCCATGCTCCGGCAAACATTCTGGACCACCTTTCTGCCAAGTGGCGTTGCACAAATCCTTCCCATTCAAAAGTTTACCCCTACCTCACGGCCTGTCAGTGGTCTCCAAGTTGGCTTTAATTAGTACCCACCTTCCATGGCGATCAGCCTAGCGTCTGTCCAGCCGTGAGTGAAATTTCCCGCCAGTACTTATAGGTGGCTTCCGCACTAGACGAGACCACTGACGGGCCGTGAGGTAGGGGTAAACTTTTGAATGGGAAGGATTTGTGCAACGCCACTTGGCAGAAAGGTGGTCCAGAATGTTTGCCGGAGCATGGGCTACTTTAAATTTGGCGGCACAGCCTTTATTGTTATTTTGCAGACGATTTTCGTGTCGACTGTGAGGTGTGCCGCCATTGGGGGCTAAGCAGAAGGACGGGGGCAAAGCAGAATTGCGCCGGGGGCGTAGAGGAACGACGGGGGCGAAGCAGATTTTTTGCGGGGGCGAAGCAGAACGGGGCGGGGGCGAAGCAGAACGGCGGGGGCGAAGAGGAAGGAGTTTCATGGGGGTGTATATGGCTTCCTTCACCCCTCTCAAGAAATAGTCTACTGAGGAAGACCAGAGTGACTGGTCAAAAGCTCTAGATGAGAGAATTTTTTGTGTTGGACCAAATTTTAACTTCAAATACATGATTCAATTTTCAGCAGATCTGACCTATTCCACTTGTGCCTTGGTCTGTGAGTTTAGTACTCTTAATACACAGTGCCACTTCTATCATGTATTGTTCTTGTAACAGTTGCATTTGAAATGAAGAAAACTGACATGCCTTCATGATCATGATATAATTATAAGGCAATGTATTTTCTTAGTAACAAGGGTGTACATGTAGCATTGAGATATACAAATTTATTTAGAAACACAATCCGGTGGCCAAACAGAAAGAATACGTTTTTACCTGATTACATTCAGCATGCAAAATACCTGGTTGCCCATTTGCCCCGGGCAACCAAATTTTACTTGGGGCAACCTATTTTTGAACCTAGGTAGCCCAGTGTGCTACCTGAATAATGCGCACTTGGCTTGCACCACTGTATCCGGCAGATATTAATTTTAGGTATTAATGGCTATTACTAGTATCAGTAAACTAAAAGGCTGTTGGAAATATTGTCAAAGGCTTATGTACATGTATGTAACATTACTTAATTTGAGAAAAGTAGTAACTTAGGTGGGGCAACCTAAAATTCTGATGGGCAACCTAATTTTTGCCGTGGTGCAAAAAAAATATTTTGTACACTGACATTGTACATGCGCCTGTCCATTTCCTTATGTCTACAGAAATCTGAGAACCATCATTGAAATATTTGATGCCACTGTTTTATCTGACTGTTCTGACAGTGATTCCCTGCTGTTTGTTCCAGGTGACGTGTTCTGTGTGTCGTCACCCTTCTGTGACTTATGAACCCTTCATGTACCTGTCAGTGCCCCTGCCCAGGGCCACAGAGAGACAGATAGGTATGTCTGTAAATTATGTTTTTTTAATTTTTTTTTTATTGTCCAAACAGTACCCGTGCAGTCGCAGCCTTTATACGGCTGAATTGATGCAGGGTATCACATAATAATCAATACAAATCACAACAATTACAACAATCAAATAATATATACATGATACACATATTTGTTCCACAATCATTTTTTTGTGGAACTGTCCCATTGGTCTGTGCGGCTGCCATTCAGTGCCACAAGGTGACCTCAATACGGCTTTCCCCAACCGAAGTTAGGTACCCATTCACACCTGGGTGGAGTGAGGAAAGTCGTGTAAAGTGCCTTTCCCAAGGGCACAACGTCGGGGCGCATGTTCAGACATGTACCGGGTACGACTCGGAATCGAACCCGGGTCTCCCCGGTTCATAGTCAATAATTTTTGCTCTAACCACTACACCACCCAACAAATTATGTATAACTACTGCTGTGTACTGGTTCACTGGACTTGGATCCGGACTTGTAAGATTATGTTTAGATTCAAGTAAAAAAAAACTAAAAGTCAAGAACAGAGTCCAGACTTATTACCATAAAAGACCATTTCACATACCCCTTTTCTTTCCAAACCACCTAAAACCTTCCATAGATTGCAAAATCTTTGCTGCAAAATGAAGAAACCATAATTGCAACATTGCAAGGTTGCCAACATGCAATTTTGTATATGCCATGGCCATAGTTGTCTGGTGTTCAAATGGACTCAAATTAAATATGTAACTCAAAAGTTCATTTGATGTGTATTATAAGAAACTACACAGGTTAATTTTATCATTATTAATTTTATAATTATTAGGAAATTGATAAAGACAATGAATGTTTGTTCCCTATCACAGACCTAAAATTGTTCCAGCTTCTTTTCACTTTTGTGGATAACTACATTTTGTACTTGACATATCCTTTTAATATCGTGATAAGCTATATCTAGCTAGGACATGTGTGTATTATTAGCAACAATGATGTTTGTGTACAAATGATTGTGTATCATCTACGTGTACAAAAGATTGTGTACATGTATTAATGTACATCTCTGTCCAGCGGTGACCTGGGTGCCTTGTGATGACACCACGCCAGTCCGCTACTGTCTGACAGTCCAGGAGTATGGCAAGGTCATTGACCTGAAGATGGCCCTGCTAGTCTTCCTTGGTGATGGACAGCAGCAGGACATGATAGTTCTGGCTGAAGTCTTCGACCATCACATCTCCAGGACTCTGGTGGGTACCGCTTTTGCTTGTTTGTTTGTTTCGCATAACCGGTAAACCGCCTTTAGGCGTAACACACCAGTTTTGTACATTTTTGTACATGTACGTACATGTACAAGCTGCGTAAGACCAGACTGTAAGGTTTGAACCACTCACACCGGGAAGGTCCCCTACTCTTTTTGATAAGTGTGGTGGGTTTTTTAACGTGTGTGGGGTGTGGCTCTCCCCAAACACGGGACATCCATTTAACGTCCTATCCGAGGGACGTCCCTAACCGAAGCTAGGGAAAACTCATTTCCACCTGAGTGAAGTGAGGAAAGTCGTGCCTTTCCCAAGGGCACAAGATCGGTGACATGGGCAGGGTTTGAACTCGCGACCTCTTGGGTGTGATCCGAACACGCTACCGACTGTGCCACACGACTCTAGCTGCAGTACCAAGACCAGTTGCTAGGGCATCCACTTTTTTGCTGACCCGTACCCAAATAGCATAGCAATCCATTCATAAATGTACACGTAACTTCTTAAGTTCATGAATATTATTATATTAAATAGAAGGGAAACTGATAGGCCAAATACTACTCCTATATACGATACAGATGCTAGTTTGGATCTTAGTTGTCTCAAGGATTTTTAAGGGTTTGCAAAAGGTACATGTATAATCATTTTGTAGCCTTTTGCTTAACCAATAATCTAGCCAAAGTGCATAACGATAGTGCACAATTTTGAGAATTCAAGGTAAACCATTCTCTTTTAGTGGAAACTTCCTTAACATACTATATGTACATGTCAATAATGATAATACATGTAACAAAATTTTAATGATAATAATCATGCAGTGAAAATATTGCATACTTGACACCATTGTTGTTTTGTTTGCCCTCAGGATGACGGTACGTTGCTGAGATATGTCAACACAACCAACAGGGACATCTGTGCCTTCCAGGTGACGGAGCTCAGACCTGAACCAGACACACGTTCTGACACCAGCAGTAGTACATGTACACAGGCTGCCGGCTGCACAGGTGTTTATGTTTATTGTTTATTGTTTATTTCAGTTTGCACATAAAAACAGTATGTAATGACTATGTACAACCAAATGTGCGGGAGAACCCAAGAAACCTAAGGGTTTATCGAGTGGGTTCTCCTAAAATCCAATTGTTTTTTATGACCTCTTTTTACACACATGTATAATGCCTTTGAATAAGTGACAACGAAACAAACAAATTAAATCAAAATAGATACAAAATAATAATTATTATTATTATATAGAGTTTACACGACAAACTAACTAACTTATTGAATAAACAATAAAGTAAGACTATCAGAAACATGTCAAATTGAATTTAAAAAAAATTCCATTAGTCAAATCATATTAAGTTATTATGCATAAGAGCAAAGGATAAACATAAGAAAGCAATATTAACACAAAATTAAATAAACGTAGCATAAGAAAACAAGGAAAACAAAGGCAAATCAAGAAGTGGTAGATGGCTTCTCTATCAGGTCAATTTTTAGATATCTTTCGGAAGTTGCAAGGGATATTGACAATTCTGCTGTAGGTGCTGTACAGGACAGCCAGGGACAGGCGTGGGGTGGTCTGAGGGTGGTCAGCACCTGGCGCAGCTGTGCCGTCTGTCTGGAGGAGATGGCAGACAACCAGCTGTTATCACATGACCCAGGCTGCGGCTGCTGTCTGTGTGACAACTGTATGGAGGTAAGACTGACCTGTTTTTGACAAATACTTTTTTTAAACAATACATGCAACAAACATTAGCTACTTTGGAGAGCTTTGGAGATGCACTCTGTCTCTTCATCAACCCGGAGTCACGTGACAAGAGACAGTCATATACAATGTACAGAGGACAGCCCACTAATTCCAGCCCCTATTGGAATATCTAAGAAAACATCTAAGAACTGAGCTGTCAACAATCACCTACTTGAGTGTTCAACTATTGCAATCACGCATTGACAGGGTAGTCCAACTTCCATTTAGTAAAAAAATGTCACTTTTTGACCAGCGATACATAGCACGGCAAATGCAAACACTGGCAGCATGACCTCTGACCCCCTTGAAGACCACCAAAATACAAGAAGATGGGATTAGTTTTACAACTCTACCAAGCAGCCAAAACAACACTAACAGCCAGTTTTTTTCAGGTTAATAGAAATAGAAATGACTCTCTAGCTGGAAAATGCCAGCATTTATCCACATATACCAAGAAAAAGGCTGTTTTCAGTTGGATTGGCTGCACTCACTCAAAGGGGTCTCAAACTGGTCCTTCTGCGCCTGCGGGAAATGGTGACCTTTGCCCTACAGGCTTTAGGTAGTGACGCCCCCTATCCCTGTTCAAGGTACTGCATTGTCTGTAAATCTGGATCATCTCCAGAACGCCCTTTGCAAACCAATCGGACCTGTGTTATGTGCTAACATTGTCCATGTCACATCCATATCCTATACAATGCTTATTTCCTCCAGAAAGCTGCTTTATATATATATAAAACTGATTTTTCTCTCCTTCCAGTTGACATCCAAGCATTACCTGAGCAGTGGATTTCAGTGTCCGGTATGTTCCTTATAAACATGTTGGAGAAACATTACTTGTGGAATTAAGCATTTGAGTGTAAAAATTGTGTCTGATAATCTAAAACACAACTGTAGAGCTTTTAGTCTAGTCATATAGATGCTAAGTTTGACAGTAAATGTCATTGTGTAGAAGTGACAGTAATGTGTACTGTGTTTACAGGTGTGCTGTATATCTGTTGTGTAGAAGTGACAGTAATGTGTACTGTGTTTACAGGTGTGCTGTATATCTGTTGTAGAAGTCACTGGGATTTCGACGGCTGGTCAGCTGTGAGGGAACCAAGGCTGACATCAGGTTTGTCTGTTACAAGCCATGTTTTTATGGCAGCCTGATTCCAAGTGCAAACAGAACACTTTCATGTTGTTCATGATTACATTTTGCTCTTCTCTTTACTTTAGGCTACACCAATTTAATTTGTTGGTTCTCGGATTTTTTCAGAAAAAATGTGATGCAACAGGGCAAAAAAGTAAAATAAAAATAAAAAACGGTCTAGGCATCCTGTGATAACCCCAAATGCTTCGATAGCAGCCATGAAGTCAATACAAAATGTTGGGTCAATATTTAAACAATGAATTTTGAACTTTTAATCAAACCCCTGCATTGATACAAAATGTACATGTAGATGAAAAAACTGTAACAACCAGGAAGAAAAGGGTGTTCCTCAACTGTTGGGGGTAAAATATGAGCATTGTTTAGTTGATTCAGAACTAGAATCTTTTTTTTTTTGCAAATAAAAAAAAACAAAGAGGAGAATCCGAGAACCAACAAATTAAATTGGTGCGGCCTTAGTAAGTTTTGAATTGTTTTGATAAAACATTGTACTTAAGAGGCTGAATCTTTGCATAAGTTTCTTAATCAGTCTGTTCTCATTGAGGACTCCTGAGCCACCCTACTCCCAGTCTTATACCCAGTCTTCAGGCAGCTGTCCAGTTAACTCTTTATAATTATGTTTGTTTTCCATTGTTGTTTATTTTGTCTAAATGGTCTCTGTTGTTCAGGATTGTACAGATCCCTGTGATGTTCCGTTCTGACTATGTGGAGACTGGACAAGAACAGGTTTGTGTGTGCAGTCCTGCTTATAAAAATATCATCCTTCTGGGCTCCAACTACATTTTTGTGTTTGCCTTCACTGGTGCACGGTGCAGGTAACATTTAAAATTACCTGCACCAAACAAGTTTTACAATTATAATTACGCACTCATTCACTCAATTATAATTATGCATAATTCATAATTGGACTAATCCCTAGGGGGTCATCAATGGCTGCTACATATTTCTTGTATCATTTTTACTTATTATAATAATTTATACAATGTAGTTTGTGATATCAACCCATCTGGGTGTAAGGTTGCTGCGATATAGGAGGTTAGTCCGGAATCAAACTGGAAGACTTTAGTCCAGAATTAAACTAGAGGGTATTTCTACAGACTATGTAATAGCATGCTAACCTGACAATGTAGATATAGTACACAATGTAATTATGTTAAGTGCATGACGACTAGGCCAGATTGCATAGCTTGTTTTTTAACGTTAGAACGTAACATCTGTTATGTAATAGTATGTTTATCTGAAGTGTAACCGACACTGTTAACTGTTACCAGTCCTGTTCCGAATTGTAATATGTTCTTGTTGTGAGGGCTAGCCTCCAGCTAGTTGGGCAGTCCTGGCTGTATACATATCCGTTTATGCAGTCTAATAAATCAAATTAAATGTCCTTACTCTTGCCTGATGTGTTCCTCCAGATGAGGTTGTGTGGGTACCCTCGGCTGCTGGTGTCCCCCAGTGAGGTGACAGGGACAGATGTGTACAGTTGTGTACAGCAGCTCCTGCCCCTGGACACAGCCTACTCTGTACTGCTCACAGATGGACAGGTTTGGTGCCAAACTTTACTTGACATGGGAACCTAAAGGCATCTAATTTAATTTCAGAGTGGCAATAGAAGCTGGTGTGTTACGCTGAAGGGCGGTTATAATGATACAGATATGGAAATAGAAAAATACATAATTATTCAGAATCTGGATGAGGAGATTTGTCTGATACTAACAGTTACTGCCATCTCTTAGCACATTTTTGTAATCATTTGAGGACAGGATTTATAGGATAATTTCCTATGGGATAATATTTAAATCACTACTGTGTAACATTAAAACTAAAGAATGGCCAGAAAAATGACTTTGAAAATCCAGTTTAGCTTCCCTGAAATTGCATTGGATGCCATAAAATGTCTTTTTTCGTCCCTGTTTTTACTATCACGTCTGTACTGTGTGTGTGGCTCATTACAGCAATGGCTAGGCAACAGTGTATATATTGTGTCCACTGCTAGTGTACTGTATTAAAGTCTCTTCTCTCATCCCCTAGGGACTCCACTGTTCCCGCTGTATGTTCAGTATCCACTGTGGTGGCTGTGAGGTACCGAGGGAAGGTCCCACCAGTCTGAAGCCAGGAGACCATCTGACCGTCAGGCTGACCAGTCTGTGTGAACAGGACCTGGACAGGAGGAACAGTGTCCAGGACCACTGCTCCATGAAGGACTTCAGCACTCAGCCACGTGTGCTGTCCTTGGAAGAAAGTTTTAAGGCTTTTACTGAAAGGTGAAACTAAGTATTTTGCTTTTCATCATCATCATCAGTGTAGTGATTGTATGGATGTCTGTTGTGTGTGTGGTGATGGGTACTGATGTCTTTTGTGTGCGCATTGGTAAGTGCTGATGTCTGTTGCGTGTGTAGTGATGAGTACTGATGCCTGTAGTGTGTGTAATGATGGGTTATGATGCCTGTTGTGTGTGTAGTGATGGGTACTGATGCCTGCTGTGTGTGTAGTGATGGGTACTGTTGTGTGTGTAGTGGTGGGAACTGATGTCTGTTGCGTGTGTAGAGGTGGGTACTGATGTCTGTTCTGTATGTGTAGTGGTGGGTACTGATGCCTGTTGTGTGTGTAGTGGTGGGTACTGATGCCTGTTGTGTGTGAAGTCGTGGGTACTGATGTATGTTGTGTGTGTAGTGGTGGGTACTGATGTCTGTTGCGTGTGTAGAGGTGGGTACTGATGTCTGTTCTGTGTGTGTAGTGGTGGGTACTGATGCCTGTTGTGTGTGTAGTGGTGGGTACTGATGCCTGTTGTGTGTGTAGTCATGGGTACTGATGTATGTTGTGTGTGTAGTGATGGGTACTGATGCCTGTAGTGTGTGTAATGATGGGTTCTGATGCCTGTTGTGTGTGTAGTGATGGGTACTGTTGTGTGTGTAGTGGTGGGTACTGATGTCTGTTGTGTGTGTAGTGGTGGGTACTGATGTCTGTTGTGTGTGTAGTGGTGGGTACTGATGCCTGTTGTGTGTGCAGTGGTGGGTACTGATATCTGTTGTGTGTGTAGTGGTGGGTACTGATGCCTGTTGTGTGTGTTGTGGTGGGTACTGATTTCTGTTGTGTGTGTAGTGGTGGGTACTGATATCTGTTGTGTGTGTAGTGGTGGGTACTGATGATGTCTGTTGTGTGTGTAGTGGGGGTACTGATGCCTGTTGTGTGTAGTGATGGGTACTGATGTCTGTTGTGTGTGTAGTGGTGGGTACTGATGCCTGTTGTGTGTGTAGTGGTGAGTACTGATGCCTGCCGTGTGTGTAGTGGTGGGTACTGATGTCTGTCGTGTGTGTAGTGGTGGGAACTGATGCATGATGTGTGTGAAGTGGTGGGTACTGATGCCTGTTGTGTGCATAGTGATAGGTACTGATGTCTGTTGTGTGTGTAGTGGTGGGTACTGATGTCTGTTGTGTGTGTAGTGGTGGGTATTGATGCCTGTTGTGTGTGTAGTGGTGGGTACTGATGTCTGTTCTGTGTGTAGTGATGGATACTGATGCCTTGTGTGTGTAGTGGTGGGAACTGATGCCTGTAGTGTGTGTAGCGGTGGGTACTGATGTCTGTTGTGTGTGTAGTGAGGAGCTGGATGAACACAACCCCTGGTACTGCTCACAATGTCGTCAGAACCAGCCTGCAAAGAAGACACTGAAGGTCTGCCGCTTCCCAGAAACCCTTGTGGTCTACCTGAAGAGATTTGTGTTTCACCAACTCACCGGTATAAAGATCGACAGTAAAGTAAGTTATTGAGTTCCTTTTGACTTTTCTAAATTTTCCATCTATCTAGTAAGAGGTCCATGACAGTGTTCTAGTCAGTGTCTGTCATTTTACAGAACTTTCATGCTTTTTCTGTTCATTAAGTGCTGTTACTTACTGGTAAATTCTGTTACATCTGTGTTACTTGAATATTAAGCTTAGTCTACCAGAAAAATTGCCACTGGCCAACAGTGCTGGAAACAGGGCGTCATTACATTAGATTTCAAAATTTCCTCGGGCTAGAATGCCCTGGCTCCCATATAGCTAAGATTCTTGCATCTCCTGCACAATGCCTATGTTTATGCCTTCAGTCAAACATGAGAAGAAATTTTTTCATGTAGGCCGCATTATCACTACAGGCCTATTACTATATTAGTAAGTGTATGATGACATTGTAATGATTTTCATGTGTCTGTGTGCACTGCAGGTACACTACCCACTAGAAACTCTAGATGTTTCAGCCTTGCAAGATGAGTCCTGTACCAGCTGCCCTCCAACATATGACTTACAGAGCTGCATTCTTCATTTTGGAGGTACGATGAATATGACTTCAACTCACGGCGTGCAAAATACCTGGTTGCCCAGTTGCCCCGGGCAACCAAATTTTACTTGGGGCAACCTACTTTTGAACCCAGGTAGCCCAGTGTGCTACCTGTATTTTAAGAATTCCCTCCCCCCCCACGAAATCATGCCAACTTGGCTTGCACCACTGTAGCCTGTAGATGCTTTTTAATTTTAGGCATTAATGGCTATTACTAGTATCAGTTAAGTTACTAAAGGCTGTTAGAAATATTGTCAAGGACTTAATTTGAGGAAAGTAGTAACTTATAGGTGGGGCAACCTAAAATTCTGATGGGCAACCTAATTTTTGCCGTAGGTTGTCCACTGGGCAACCTGGTTCAAAAAAGTATTTTGTACACTGACTCCAAAATTTTGTACAACACTATGTGTATTCAAATGAGTTCAGTGTATATGAGAAATCGCTGTTTTGTTTACATCATATACATGGAAATTATTTGAAGACATATGCAAATTATTGGTAGGCAAATCAGCCAACCATCATCAGCATTTTGCCTACCACTTGATGGCCATTACGTCATGGTGATCATTCACATTCCACAGATCATTTAGAAAGTTTGTTGGACATCCAACATTTAGGACAGATCCCTCTAGTCTTTCAGTGCGAACTAAAACTTTCAATGTCTTCTGATGATTTTTCAACCTGTAATAACCTGTCAGGGGTAGAGCCTAAAGCACAGGAGGACAGTAAAGCTGATACTGGCAGAAATCTACTTCCCTTCTGCAGTCTAGCTAAATAATAAAATAAATGATGGTAGTGGTGCCACAAACTCAGTTCACCTTGTGTGGGCTGTTTTAGCACCAACCATACATGTCAGTAATGTGAGGTAATGTGAGTAAATGACAATCAGGTCAAGATTTTTTTCAATGAAAATATATTAAATTTTTCAAAATTCAAAACTCTCCTGAACGAGCAGGACATATAAGTCAACACTCTGTGTACTTTATGATATGACACCCCTTGTTTATAATTACTTAGTATAAATCCTGTATGTTAAATTACAATAATAAAAATGTTGTTGAAGATTTTAATAATTTGATATTATAATAGTACACGAATGTGCATCTTTAAACGCATAAATTGTACTAGTTTTATTACATCTTGTACACTTCGACTGTACATAAATTGTAGTTGTAGTGCATTTTAGTGCAATAACTTAGATGATTTGTTGTGTAGTTATAAAATAATTGTCTATGATAATGTATGTATGTACTATGACCATAATTCAGTCTTAGGACTTAGTGTGACATATGTGTGGTAAATGTCAAATAAACCATAAGATTCTTATTATTATTATTTTGGTGCTAAAATGTTAGATAATGTTCCTTATAAATTGACATGGTAGGGACTGTACTTGATGTATTGTTTTCCAAATGATAATATGTGTTGTAATGTGCAGGAGTGAATGCTGGCCACTACACCTGCTTTACCAAGCACCCGCTCAGCTGCAGCTGGAGATACTACAATGATGAGACTGTGTCGCAGCTGCAGCCGTCAGAAGAACATGCCAACAATGTTTATGTACTGTTCTACCAGAGAAAGGGTATATAATATTATAAACAGTTACTAATACTGTACTTTGTCATTTATTTATTTATTTATTCATCCTGGGGACAAATGGGTGGTCCCTTCAGCCCTTGAGGCTGATTTCCAAGGGAGCCCATAATAATGTAACATATTAAAATAATGATATGATATGAATCTTTATTGCATGTTCTTGCCCAGATGGGCTAAATATACAAATGTAACCAAATGTGGTCGAGAGGATAAAAACATGAGTATTGCATACTGGAACGCTATATTCTAAAGTCTATATATTACAATACTACAATGTATATATATATACTACCTATCTTCTAAGTGTTAATTGCCCTTTCTTCTCTCTTTTAAAGTAGGTTATCTATGTACACATTCATTTTCCATAATGTCATAAGGCCACACCAATTTAATTTGTTGGTTCTCGGATTTTTTCAGAAAAAATATGAAGCGACAGGGCGAAAAAAAATAAAAATAAAAACAGGTCTAGGCATCCTATTATAGGTTTAAATGCTACAAAATGAGCCATGAAGTCAACACAAAAGGCTGGGTTAAAATTTAAACATTAAATTTTGAACTTTTAATCAAACCACTGCAATGATAGATGGGAAAACTGTAACAACTAGGAAGAAAAGGACTTTCCTCAACTGTTGGGGGGCAAAACATGAGCATTTTTCAGTTGATTCAGGACCAGAATCAAATTTTTTTTTTTTTTTTTGCAAATCAGAAAAAAACGAAGAGGCGAATCCGAGAACCAACAAATTAAATTGGTGTGGCCTAATACTGGAAAAATACTACGTTTCTAAGCTAGCATACTCTTTTTTTTTTCAGGAACTTCAGTCAGCTTTAGACTCCCCTCCCCTCTACCAGTGGACCGGTCCGCAACACCCTCCCCTCCCCAGAGCCCCTGCGTTCCCAACCTGGGCAGCCCCAACATTATGGAAGACATCAATGACATGCTCAGAGACTACAGTTCTACACAGGAATGTAACCAGGATGACCAGACGCCCTTCTTTGGTCCAGTCAACATGGTGGACAGGGACGGTCTGTATAATAATGAGGTGACAGAAAGTTCTTTCCCTGACCAACAAGAAGAGATGTTAAAATTTGACCTGTACTCATGATAACTACATGTACTGTCATTCACACTCTCAAACAGATGTTATAACATCAATAATATTGGCCCTTTAATCTGCTTACTAGTATTATTGCTTGCACAGTCCTTAGCATCTGTTTTTTGTACATTGTATGTCTGCTACAAGTACAGTATTTGTTGAAAATTTTACGTCGATATACGTTTTCAATGTATTGCTACAGCACAACTTTAACCACTACAATGTAACTCAAAACACAACTCAAAACTCAAAATCTCCTTTTCTCTAATTTCAAACCACTCCAAAAGTAAAATTTATCCACAGGGACATTATTTATCACAGAAGTGATGGCATTGTGTTCTGCATCAATACAAGCTTAGTAACATACACCTACAAGTCAATCTATCACAATCTCTATTTTTTTACTCATAATCCATCATCCAATGTTCAGTGGACATCAGATAAAGTGCCTCTTGTTAGCACATGGAGGTACATGTATGAACAAATGTATGTCAGGTGTCCAGCTTGTTCATGTGCCATGTAATATTTTACTTTCATGAATCACTGGATCAGGTACATTTGTACAATTTGTGTCATATAAGGCCACAGCAAGTAAATTTTATGGATGACATCCTCCGCAGACTCCAAATCTTATGCGAGCGGGCGAAAAAAAAAGGCGAGCCGAAAAAAACAAGGTTCCTACATTTTGAAATTTGGACTCAATCTTTGTGCAAATGGTTTTGATTCAGTAGGAACATTACATACTGTACATGTATAGATTACACAGCCAGCATCACATATCACTGCATCAAAGTAAGAAACAAAACATTAAAATCAAAGCCTTTTCTTGTCTTCTCTCTTTATAGTTACCTGCCATCCACCTTCTGGTATGGCAACAGACATCTTTGCCCATTTTCGGCATGTTGACCACTGCCAGAAGGCAACAAAATTTCTTCTTTTTTTTCCCCAATCAGGCAAAAATTAATGCGCACGCTGATGTCATCCATATATAGAAATTACTTGCTGTGGCCTAACTGTTCCCATTGATTATTACTAGTAGAGCTTCATGTACCTTTAATAAACACAAACAACCCTTACATACATGTAAAGGGCAGTCTGTCCTTAGACTAGCTTTGTGCCCTCCATTATAAGTTGATGATAATTGTATGGTACTGATTTGGCCTGTGTTCAGCTGAATGACATCTGAGAGTTACAACTTACATGTATGTTGTTGCAACATTTCCTGCGAGCTTATGCAATATTCAGTAAGTCTGAGTTGATGAAAAAATACGTCCCTGGGTTTCCGTATATTATTACATGCAATAGTCATTAGGAAACTCTCACAAAGTTAGCAATACATGTACATGTATGTTGGAAGTTGACAAGGTGACCAGGAACTGTAATAAGTATAATTCTTTTTTTGGACGTTGTAGGTTGCACTTAGGAGTATCTGCCTGCAGTGTTACAGTGCTACTTTTTGCCACATGTAAGTTGTAAAAGAATAAGACTGCAGTGTGCAAACTGCCATAATCTTGTACAGATGGGAATAATCTGCACACTTACAAGATAATGAATGTTAGTCATGAGTTTTACAAACTTGATGTAAAGTATTGTATCCGAACCGTAAGACTGAAATGGAATAAAAATATCGGAGTTACAGAAAGTGTTTGACTTGTCATATTAAAATAAATAGAGTAGTTAAATCTTTTCAAACTGGATTGCATTTTTAATAGATAGACGTTTCAGGTATCGTCCGATGCCTTTTATCCGCACAAATGTTTATAGAGGAATTTACGGAACAAGAAATAAGTTATAAATGAACAAAAACAAAAAACAATGTTCTAAATTAACAAAAGGTAAGTACCAAAAGTTCTAAAATACATAAAAAAAGGAAGGAAAAAACGAATAAAAAACTAAATTACGGCAAAAATTAAAATAAAAAAGAGTCTGAACTAGAGGTCGGAGATCTCATGTCTTCGTCAGAGGTACATCGTTCTAGGGAAATTAACATGCGTATTCTTCACTCTTTTTAACAATCAATTTGGTCTAAAGAACAAAAGAATCTCTGTACTATTTTTATGGTACAGAACACCCTGAAACGGTTTGCCGCAGATTATACAGATGCGTCGTCACCCGTGTTAGCCCCCCCCCCACACGTTATTACCTCCATGAAAAATGGAGGTATTGTTTTTGGCGTGTCTGTCTGTATGT